GGGGGATGAGAGACAAGGCAGCAGATGGACGAACGGATGGAGGAAACGATGAAAATGGTACCCAAAAAATCGACACACATACAGACACACGTGTTTTCAACCGCACTAAGACTGACGTCTTTTCATTGGTCAGCCGGTTAGCGCGGTCGATGTCAGCAAGCCTTATGTTGATGTTTTCGGGGGAGTGAGTGAGAAACAATACTGTAGAAGGACGACAAGATGAAAACCGTGCCGAGAAATCAACACGAACACACCCCAAACTTGGCCTCCGCCATCAAGCCTTTGAAATATTTTTTGGGGGGCGGGTTGGGTTGGGGGGGGTGGGGGGTTGAGAGACAAGGCAGCTGATGGACGGATAGATGGATGGCTGACACGATCAAAATGATACGCACTCATCGACACACACACACACACACTTGGCCTCCGCCACCAAGCCGTTTTCTGGGTTTGGGAGGGAGACAGGCAGCAAGAGCAAGGGTGGGCGGACGACGAAAAGGTGGATATAGTAAACGGAATTCCACACACACGCAGACAAGAGCGGGCCACTGTGAGGGCGGGGGAGGTGGGGGGATAATAGTTCGCCGTAGGTCATGGCACACGGGCTTGTGTGAGCCTCGGGGGAAAGGCTCTACATACAATTTTGTGGGACGTTAAACAAAACTACCCCGGATTGCCTTCAATTTTCAGACCTCACAATAGCCGACAGGTTTCATAACTAACAATACCTACACCTCGTTCCACGTTTGCGCCTCAGATCGCAAAAAAACAGTCAACTACAGCAATAATAGTGACGACCACGGCAACGGCAAAAACAGAAGCAGCAGCAGCGGCGGCGGCGGCGGCGGCGGCGGCGGCGGCGACAGCAATGACGATAAGAACCCCGTCAACATCAACCACATCATCTCCAAAAACGATGACAACAACAACCCTGGCCCCCTCTCTCTCTCTCTCTCTCTCTCTCTCTCTCACCCACGGAGTACTCCCACTGCCCGGCTTCCCCGCAGGCCGAAATCGCCGCCGAGTAGCCGATGATGTCGCAACTCAGGCCCTGCTTCTTCATCCCCTTCAGCACCGACAGCGCCTGCTTCCACTGCCCCCCCCTGCCGCACGCCACGATCAGGGAGTTGTATGTGATGCTGTCCGGAGTTACCCCCGCCAGGGACATGTGCTTCACGAGGGCGACCGCCTGGCGCCATTGCCCGCCGCCGCCACGCGCGATGGCAGCAATGGCCGAGTTGTACGTTACCACGGTAGGTTCGATGCCAAGTCGAGACATCTCGGACATGAGCTCCTGCGCCTGCCCGGGGGGAGGAGAGGGGGGAGGGGTACTCTTTATGGTTGCATGCCTTGGCGGTTAGACCATTGACCATCCGTCCTCGAAAGGACGGAGCATTGATCCTACAGGGGGGGGTAGGGGGGGGGTGTACTCATAGTCGTGCATGCCGTGTCGTTAGACCATTGACCTCGCATCCCTACAAAGCCGGGACGGAGCACGCCGGGTTCTCACCGGACCAGGCTCTCACATCACCAAGCGCGAAGCGCCGTGAGGTATTCGGCGAGTCGCATGAAGGGTGCGCTGCATCCTGCTAAGGGTGTTCGGCATCTTGTGCTTACTTCCTTGCGTACGGATGACAGCTGGGTATGTCTTAATTGATTTTCTGGTGCTTTCACGTCCAGAGACAGTTGTAAGCACGGTGTAAGTGCCTCGAGGATGCGTGACCATTTTAACACAGCGTGGTGCGATCATCCCCCTTGCGCGGAGTGAGGGTT